CCCCTGGCCCCTCAGCACAAACCTACAATTCTAAATATGGCCAACCATCTGGAAATAAGGTAGCTTAAGTAATCATTCATACTCGACTCCTTTACCTTGCAAAAAGAAAAAAGAAAAAGAAAAAGTAAAATGAAAAGGGGGTGCTCAGAATGTTAATTAAATCTTCTAATACATTGTTCATGCTACATTAGGGGTGCATTAGTGTTCCTATTAAAAGCTGAAATTGGGCCCTGTTGATGTTGCCCAACTAAAGGCAGAATTTTCTTTCAGTTGAGGTAAAAATCAAATGAGAATAAAAAAGAAAAGAAAATAGAGGCTATTGATAGACAATCATAAATTTAGAATTTTTATGTCGTTTTTTCCTATTTTTTCAAGAAAACATATTTTGTATTGAATCCAGAAGGGAGAGAAAAAGAAAAAAACAAAAAACAAGATGCTGATAAATAAAATAAAATCTCATTTAAAAATGTATATAATGATCATACTTACCACCAATGAAATCAAATATAAGATATAATAGGATATATGATACATTTGTTTTTTATGTACCGTATATGCTCATGAATCATTTGACTTAAGTTTGAAGATAATTTTAAGGAGGTCACAAGGCATATACAAAATATAAAATTGGCATATGTAGTCCTGGCCCTGGCTACACTGTCGACTAAACTAAATATCCATTTACTGCAGTCAAATTAGATTCAAAAGTCAAATATGTTGTGACTATATATATATATATATATATATATACATACATAGTGTGTATATATATATACATATATATATATATATATATATATATACATACATAGTGTGTGTGTGTGTGTATATATATATATATATATATATATATATATATATATATATATATATATATAGACTGTGTGTGTGTGTGTGTGTGTGTATATATATATATATATATACATAGTGTGTGTGTGTGTATATATATATATATATATATATATAAACTCACAGATAGACTGGAAAATTATAGGTTTCACTCACACCTAATAATCTTAGAGATAGTTATAACTTGTCCTTAGAAGAAAAAAATAGAATAAAATACAATAATCAAAGCAAACTATTAAATCAGAGGAATGAATTAGTTTTAAAATGCCAACATAAAAAAAAGATACTTTCATAATATAGATTTTACTTTATTACTTTATAATTCTCTAACTCTTCAAATGTCGAATGTATACCTATTTCTAATTTCTACATTTCCATTATTTTCACCATATTAATTATATCTTATAATTGTCCCCCTGTTCTAAAAAACTCTTTTCTTTTATCATTTACACCTTTTTATCTATATTTTGGCCTTTCTTGTGATGAAAGAAGATAGAAAATACAGATTTTACTTTTATTACTTTATAATTCTCTAACTCTTCAAATGTCGAATGTATACCTATTTCTAATTTCTACATTTCCATTATTTTCCCCATATTAATTATATCTTATAATTGTCCCCCTGTTCTAAAAACTCTCTTTCCTTTTATCATTTACACCTTTTTATCTATATTTTGGCCTTTCTTGTGATGAAAGAAGATAGAAAATACACAGATTTTACTTTATTACTTTATAATTCTCTAACTCTTCAAATGTCGAATGTATACCTATTTCTAATTTCTATATTTCCATTATTTTCCCCATATTAATTATATCTTATAATTGTCCCCCTGTTCTAAAAACTCTCTTTCCTTTTATCATTTACACCTTTTTATCTATATTTTGGCCTTTCTTGATGATGAAAGAAGATAGAAAATACACAGATTTTACTTTATTACTTTATAATTCTCTAACTCTTCAAATGTCGAATGTATACCTATTTCTAATTTCTATATTTCCATTATTTTCCCCATATTAATTATATCTTATAATTGTCCCCCCCTGTTCTAAAAACTCTCTTTCCTTTTTATCATTTACACCTTTTTATCTATATTTTGGCCTTTCTTGTGATGAAAAGAAGATAGAAAATACACAGATTTTACTTTATTACTTTATAATTCTCTAACTCTTCAAATGTCGAATGTATACCTATTTCTAATTTCTATATTTCCATTATTTTCCCCATATTAATTATATCTTATAATTGTCCCCCCTGTTCTAAAAACTCTCTTTCCTTTTATCATTTACACCTTTTTATCTATATTTTGGCCTTTCTTGTGATGAAAGAAGATAGAAAATACACAGATTTTACTTTATTACTTTATAATTCTCTAACTCTTCAAATGTCGAATGTATACCTATTTCTAATTTCTATATTTCCATTATTTTCCCCATATTAATTATATCTTATAATTGTCCCCCTTGTTCTAAAAACTCTCTTTCCTTTTATCATTTACACCTTTTTATCTATATTTTGGCCTTTCTTGTGATGAAAGAAGATAGAAAATACACAGATTTTTACTTTATTACTTTATAATTCTCTAACTCTTCAAATGTCGAATGTATACCTATTTCTAATTTCTATATTTCCATTATTTTCCCCATATTAATTATATCTTATAATTGTCCCCCCCTGTTCTAAAAAAAAACTTTCCTTTTATCATTTACACCTTTTTTATCTATATTTTGGCCTTTCTTGTGATGAAAGAAGATAGAAAATACACAGATTTTACTTTATTACTTTATAATTCTCTAACTCTTCAAATGTCGAATGTATACCTATTTCTAATTTCTATATTTCCATTATTTTCCCCATATTAATTATATCTTATAATTGTCCCCCCTGTTCTAAAAACTCTCTTTCCTTTTATCATTTACACCTTTTTATCTATATTTTGGCCTTTCTTGTGATGAAAGAAGATAGAAAATACACAGATTTTACTTTATTACTTTATAATTCTCTAACTCTTCAAATGTCGAATGTATACCTATTTCTAATTTCTATATTTCCATTATTTTCCCCATATTAATTATATCTTATAATTGTCCCCCCTGTTCTAAAAACTCTCTTTCCTTTTATCATTTACACCTTTTTATCTATATTTTGGCCTTTCTTGTGATGAAAGAAGATAGAAAATACACAGATTTTACTTTATTACTTTATAATTCTCTAACTCTTCAAATGTCGAATGTATACCTATTTCTAATTTCTATATTTCCATTATTTTCCCCATATTAATTATATCTTATAATTGTCCCCCTGTTCTAAAAACTCTCTTTCCTTTTATCATTTACACCTTTTTATCTATATTTTGGCCTTTCTTGTGATGAAAGAAGATAGAAAATACACAGATTTTTTACTTTATTACTTTTATAATTCTCTAACTCTTCAAATGTCGAATGTATACCTATTTCTAATTTCTATATTTCCATTATTTTCCCCATATTAATTATATCTTATAATTGTCCCCCCTGTTCTAAGAACTCTCTTTCCTTTTATCACTTACTCCTCTTTATATGTTTTTTTAAAATATAACTGCATGGTTTGTTTTTATCAAGATAACTTGATTTAACTTGAAAAGTTAAAAATGTATAATTTATTTTATCTTATATTTTTATTTTTAAATATATTTTCATTCTTTAATATAAAATTTACAAAAATATCTTACTTAAATTTAATATAAATTATGTAAATATGACTTATTTTTAATCTTTTTAACATATTTTACTTTTAAGTATAGTTTATTATTTTTTAAGCTGGAACCCAACCTTTTATATATATAATTATTTTTTTTATAAAACTCCCTTTTTTCCCCTCTTTTAGTTTCAAATTAACACCTCATTCTTCATATAGGACCAATTTAATGTCATAAGGTTAATATCTGGGTTTAATTTTATAAAACTTCTTCCCTTTAAGACTAATACTTTCCACCGTTTCTGTCATTTTGTCTGACCAAAACATCAAAATGGTTAAATTCTGTATCAATTTTTCGATAGCTGTCAAAGTTAAATTTCTAATTCTGACATGAATACAGTTTATACACTGGGGTTGAATAAGACTGACATAGTTTTCAAAGGCTGCAATAGATCTATCCCCACCCCCGATATGAAGTAATTTTGGATTTTGTTCATAATTCTACTTATATGCTCTGTTATAATAAATACATTGAGCTCCTTTTATGGATCAATTTTAATATTTTATATTAATAGGATCCACTTGGATTATATACCAGCAGATTTTATTACATGTACTATAATGAACTTTTAATCCAACTTTATTTCTTAATTTGAAAAACCTTATTTTAGTGAGTACATGTGTTTGATCAGAGATCTATTTTTTGTAACATTGAAATTAGTGTCAATCTGTGTAGATCATACAATGTTTAAATAAAGAAAGATACATTTTATGAAATAAGATTTTCATGGTCTACACTGATAGACGACATTAATTTCAATGTCAGAGATGTTTATTCAAACATTTTTACCCATTGTTTATTGCAATAATAATTATGCAAATAAATTATTAATACTACAACATCATAAAACGAGTTTTAAGGTAGGGATCATAATTTAATATTTAACGATTGAAATCAAATAAAATGAATACAACCTAAGGCCCATCCTGGGTAAGATGATAAACTACACCTGAGTCCTGGGTAAGATGATAAACCATGTCCAACAGCAAGGCTTCTGATCAGGATGTTTTGAGGAGTATGGAAACACCTCTTAATTGCTGGTCTTCCCAGATTCACCCTGACCTGGGGTGGTAGCACCTGTTAGGGTCCCAGCTATGGGCAAATAGTTAACCCCCAAAATATTACCAGCAATACATTTAAAAAAAATAAAAAATATTACCAGCTATACATTTTTGAAAAATAAATATTACCAGCAAAGGAAAAATATTACCAGAAATAGATTTTTTGAAGGAAAAAAAATACTACCAGGAATAGATTTTTGGAAAAAAATATTACCAACCATAAAAATTTTGTCAGCATTAAATAACCCATTGAGGTTGATATGTCATAAACCAAACCAAACCAAACCAACCTAAGGCACCTTTTGACCAACACTTCATCAGAAATCAATTGTCAGTATTAAAATACTACTGAATT